GCCGTGTAAACGTTTATGAATGAATTGGCCTCTAACGATTTCTGTAATTTTTCATTGGAATCGCAGCATCGATAGTTTGATTGACTCTTTCATTTCAGAATTGCAACAGTCGAACAACTTATCACTGACGGCGGATTAGTACTGATGTGTCTTAGTCAGTGGAATTTGTCGAAGCAGATCTCAATCTATTGCCTGGTCGGAATGGCTCAAACTTGTTATATTCTGCGTATTCGGTCTTGGCCAATACAGAACATTCAGACACCTAACGTTTTTGTTATCCATAATTATCCCTTTGCCTGAAAGTGACTAATTACTCTATTCGTGTACCTTGGAAGATTCCTGAGAAACACGACAGACGCTGCAGTTGATCAAATTACAAAAGGTTTGATACGGCACAGGCTCATGGATGAAAGTTGACGCAGCAGTTTCCATCCACGCGTTGTTTAAAACGTCCTAGACAGACATCATAAGATTATTAGCTTTAGAAGTGCTGATTATAAACTTAACTGAGAAAAATAAGTAACCGCAGAAAATTTACAGTTCATGGTTCAACAAGGAGCACTCAACTTATCCACACCAAGGTTCGATTAGAATGTTCACCCCCCCTCGCCCCCTTTGTTTCTAGATGTCCACTGGCAGTTTGACAAAGACACGACATCATGATATTTTGAACACCTGCAGAAATAGGAAAGGAATGGAAAGTTGGTCAACGTTCGAATGTCGGTCTTCCTTCATTTTCATGGCCGGGCTATTTTTGCTCCTTTCTTTTCATGAAGTTCAGGATGTGGTATCTCATTTTCATGTCCTCAACCAGAAGTGCTTCATTTTCATAAGGCAGAGTCTACAGGCATGTAGCAAACGTAGCATTTGGCTTTTTTTGTCACACAGTGACACTCATTTATCAACCTCGGAAGGACGATGACGAATGACTCTGACTGTGGCTTGAACTCAGGACCTGTCGGTACTGAGTCTGAAACCCCATTGACTGAGCTACCCCGGCGGTCTGAAGCAACGTGTGGCAAATTCACTGCACAAGGGATTCATAAACAAGACAAAGATGGCCTTCGAGCAGAATTGAAACCCGCACCTCCGGAGTTTCAAACAAACCTCTTTAATGACTGTGCCAACACGCTAACCTGCAGAGCTAGATGCAAATCGAATCTTTGATTACAGAAAATACGTGGCCTCTCGTCAATAGTGCTCTAAATTTTCATATGCTGGCGCCCTTTAGACGTATATACAAACAAAAAATATGGTTCATACGAGGAGGTTCTTATTGAGAGATTCGATTTCACAGCACTGGTATATCTCAACGCCAATCGATTTATAGTTTGTTCCCAGCAGAATATTGTTTATATCAGCAGAATAGTGCAATTCATTTATGCACTAAAGGTACTCAATTACCATTGAGCCCCTCATCGGATATTCCCCTAGCTACGTAGAAGGAATATATATCATTTTGAAATTCGATTTTAGCTGCTTGAGCTCATTTCGACATATTCTAATGTTCAAATATATATTTTTGAAGTATTAAGCAAGCAGTAGTTTCTAAATAAAATTTAAGATGTACAATATTATCAGGCTGCCAAATCATTAAAACGGTAAAGATATGAGAATTGATAGTGAAAGCATCTCAACGTTGCGCATACGCGGAAGCCATCCAGGCACTGTATGACTACTAATGAACATAGAACCTGCTTTCGGAGCACAGGGGCATAGAGATGAACCCCATTACGTATCCAATGAAATCTGTTTTTCGCGTGATCTCCATGTGTGAAAATGCTTACACGATGAAACTCAGACTCAAAGAGCGGAGGTAGATACAAACAAATGAGAGGTCGTAACAGCCATCGGTTCATCTGTCCAGCATGTCTACAACAGCTGCCTATCTAACACAAAACGCTGCGAACCGAAATGCTCCGGCATGGCAAAGGTGATGGCGCAGGACGAGCAAGGAACATTCGTCCCAGCAGCAGCACAGGGTAAAATTGTCCTTATGTTATGTGGACAATTAGAGTTTACTGGCTCATGTATAATTAGCTGTTCGCGGATGATCATATCACTTTAGCTTCTTCTCATGCTGACCTATAAGTTGGCGCTTTTCGGCTTTAGTAGGCGCCATATCTCACAATCTACAGCACTGCCAGCAAGAGGGTCAAATGGAAGCAGTGGGAGCGGGTTTCCTTCCTGATGTTGCTGAGAAAGACGTCCTTGATGGAAGGAACACGCGCCAAGCGGCTTTCTTTTTTCGTTCAGTCTCTCCAACCTGGCCATGCCGCATGCTGATTCCTTGACTCAGGTAAAATTCATGTATCGACTTCTTCGATCTGTTCACCGCTTAATATCGTTCTGGTTATCGTTCAAATCGGTAATCAGCAAGGTATCCGACCGTAGTATCTTCGTCTCTGACCGACTGATTCGCAGTCCCACTTCTGCACTTTTCCGCTCGAGCCTTTACAGCATGTCTCGTAGCTGATTGGCCTTTTCCGCAAACAACACGTCATTAGCGAATCTAAGGCGGCTGAGCTGTTTACCACTGATATTAACCCCACAATTTCACTCCACCCTCCTGAACACCTGTTCTAAACAGGCAATAAAGAGTTGGAGAGAGATGGTGTCTCCATGTTCCATGTCTTTCACTACTGGAATCTGAATGAGTGTCAAACAGCGTGATGCGTGTGAAGCAGTCAGAGCTCGCTTCCTTTCGCAGGTTGATGTAACAGAGGTCGCTGCCCTGTTCTGACAGTGCAGTCCGTACAGCGTTATGCTCGACAGTGTCGAACGCTTCTCGTAGTCGACGAAGGCGATACACAGAGGGAACTGGTATCCCCTTGCACTTTCAATGAGTTGATTTAAGGTAAAGGTGGTGTTATTCATTCAGCTGTAGCTCCTTTGGAATCCTTCCTGTCCTTTTGACTGCTATTCATTGGACTTATTGATAGTCTGTTGGTGATGATCTTAGTGAAACACCGTATAGACGCTAAAGAGCAGGCAGAATGAGCGATAGTTCTTCGATTCTTCCTCCTCACCCTTCTTGAACAGCAAAATTGTTTCTGGCTCTTTCCAGCTTGATGGTATCTTTACCGTTTCTATATAGCAACTGAACCTCTTCGCCAGATCCCTCCACAACATCTGTCCTGATAATTTCGATTGTCAGACTGCCCTGGGACTCTTCCTTCCTTCATTTACTGCGCGCCATGCCAAACTTCTCTTATAAGAATTGGGAGTGCACTTCCTTTCGCTTGTTGGAGTGACGGTTGGAGACAAGACTTTTCTATTTTCCTTAATCGGAAACTCTTGAGGTTCTCTTTCAACTTTTCTTGAATGAGATTGCAGAGGTGAAAGTATACTGGGCTTTTTTAGTAAACTCTCAGTCTCCTCTGAGATCCTTCCTTTCGCTCCCTTTGATGTTACCACTTCGGATGAATTCAGTATCTCAGCGAACCTGTGTTCGTCGTCGTAGCTGCTTTTCTAGCTCCAGTCTTCACTAAAACTGGGCGATCTAAGCACTGCCTCAGCAAATATCTTCGGTTGTTGCCTACGATTTACCATCTGCTGTGCCTTCCTCGATCTCCTCTTTGAAGGTTAGCCTCCCCCCCCCAACTACCAGTATTAACAGTGGCTCTACTCAATGTCTCAAATGACACAACGCTTACCAAACAGGACGAAGTCAATATCGCTCTTTGTCTCCGCACTGGGTGCAATTATTGTCCACCTTCTTTTGGTCTTCTTTTTGAACTAGGTGTTGTCGGTGTACGGGTGTTTCGTTTCTGCCATAATAGCCGATTTCCTCGCTTACTACGCTCTCCGGAGCCGTAACCATAGTTATACTTATCCCCGGCTATTTCTCGTCCGTCCTGGCACTGAAGACTCCCATGACGAGGCCATACGTATGTTTTGGGACCAATGCCTGTTCCAATTTTAAGTATAATTTTTCTACTTCCTCCTCGTTGGCTGACTGACTTATGGAAACATGGATGTGGACAATCTTCAAGGTCATCTTCTTGTTCAGTTGGAAGCACAGTACGTCGAGTTTTGGTTCATGGCAGACGACAGTTTTAGTTACAGATCCCATTCCTCCTATGCTTTTCGGACTTTCATTTTTCCTAACTGAATCGAACTACCGTCGTTCCAGATGCCATCCATTCCATTCATCCTTTCGTGGTCAAGTCTCGCAGAGGCAAAGGATATTGCAGGTCATTCCTGACC